TTAGCCATGGCCACAATTCGTTTACTTTCTACCAGCTACTGGTTACTGCTACTGCAATGGATGTCCAGGACTTCTCGCAGGAGGACTTCTCCGACCAGGGTGACTGCCACCACCCGGACTTTCCAAGGGACAATCCAATCCTCCTCAGATGCTGGGCTGCATTTTCCGTTTTCGTTTACGCATCGTTTGAAATTTCTATGAATTGTAGATGCAATCGTCCAGGCCATGGGTCCTGGCTAAGACTCATGTGTTACACAAGAGTTACCGAATAGCCCCCTACCCCTGTCCCGTTTCTGGTCATGGTTCACGAACCCAACCGACCCCAAAAGTCAGTGGAGTGCATTTCACTTGCAGTGCATTTGGTAAGCTCACGACGAAGGCAAAGTTGACGATTCTCCAGCAGGAGCAGAAACAGCAGCTTTGGTGGCCCAGTCCGGGCAATGGAAATTGAAAACATTGCCCATGGTAGCACCTCCTTCTCCGTCTCCTCCTCCTCCGGGTGGCCGGAGTGGAGATGTGGAGAGAAAGAAATGTGCAGCTGGCAAAAGGATTAGAGGGAGAGCTGGTAACATGGGGAAATGGTAAAATGGGCACCGGTAGCGGGGCCAATCTTTCATGACGAAACAAATATCCTCATAATTCAACAGGAAAATTGCCCCGCAGTTGGCAGGCCCTGAAGGATCCACTCACAGAAAGTTAAATATACATATGGGGAAAATAAAAAATATATGAGAGTTTTTACATCAAAACTTGGGGGCCTGAAGAGGTTAATATTTGGGAGTTGAAACCATCTCCAAAGTAGGGATTATAGGAGGGTTCTTAGATGATTAAGAATAAGGCTTAGCGACCCATAGTTTGTCCCTCGAGTTTATCATTAAAGCAAGATTTTATTTTTTCTCCAAGTGCACCAGGGGGGTCTAGTGAGCTTTGGGGGCCGGAAACTGAGCCCGGGCCTATGAGGTTTTCTGCGGCATCGTTCCGTACGCCTCCTGGCTCAAAAACGAGGTGGCTCACAGATCCAGAAGGAGACGAAGTCGTAGACCCTTTGTGGGTCTGCCGTTTCTGCTGATTTGCTTTCTCGGTGACAAAAATAATAACAGCCAGCCACAGTCGCAGCCAAAGCTCCTCGCCCGACCACGTCACCGGGCTTTCTGGTTCTGGTTATGGTGCCTGTTCCTGATTCGAATGCGGGAGACCCACCAGACCAGTGTCAGCTTTCGGCCTCTCCCATATGTCAAGTTGGCCGAGTGAGTGTGTGGCCATTTTTAATTGCCACAATTTGAATTTCTTACACAACTATTTGGATAACAATCAGGATTCTGCACTCTTATGCAAAGCATACACAGTCTTGACTGACTGGACCTGCCCCTGCTCCTGTCCCAATCCCTGTTGCGTTTATTTTCCGGCCTGAGCAAACTATTCTTCTTCGTTTCGAGTCTGGCCGAGCCGCGTCTCATAAATAATCAAGCAATTATTTTGCTGTCAATTTCAACACGGCCGCCAAAAACGCAATGCCAACGCCTCAGAACGGGGCTGGGAGTCCCGGGTCTGAGAACTAAGGATTTAGTGAGGATGAAGCACAAAAGGACGCAGTAGCAGGAACATGCAACCCGCTGAGTCCTTCGCAACGGACACGCTACACGGCCTTAAGGGGCAATAAATTCTTTCTGCCTGCGCCGGCTAAGAAGTGTGTGCACAGCCAGAAAGGTTTAAGATTAGTGTACTAGTCTAGTACTATAACATCATGATAGATTTTTTCAGTGTATGGCAGTTCACAATGGCGACGCCAACTATGGAAGCCCCGCGTCTGGTGGGCATAGTCTGTTGATTTTGTCGAGCAGCCAAAGGAGTTCTTGGATCGAAAGTTCTTGGACTACGCGTTGTCCTGGAACTGGGATTGGAACTGGAGTCTTTGTGTCCTGGGGTTGGGCGCACTTAAAGCCTTTTGAGCACTGGCCCTTCGTCCGGTTGCGATTCGATTTCACGGCCGTATATCATTGCGATTTCAGCTCCAGTGCTCGGATTCCCTCATCCTCCTCCAGCAGTCTAAGTCGAGGGCTATGCCACGTAAGACACTCGAGGCGATTCAGTGGGTTTCAGAGGACCTAGAAGGACCTGTCAAATATTGTATCTAAAAAGCATTTTTATTTTGAATAATTTTTAGAAAAAACAGATCCTTTTTGAATTCTTGGAAATATTTCCGATGATAGTTCCGGATATATTCCTAATTTTTTGACCCACAATCGTATCTGTCCTCTTCTTTGCTTTTCCACGCACCGGTCGGAAGTTCTTTTGGCAGATTATCTGCACAGGCGAGTCCTGCGAATATCCCTCACCGTGACCAGCCCGTGAATCCTGCCAGTCGGCTCGCATAGATTTTTAATTGAAGGGCGTGTTCGCCGGTTATCCGAATAAAAGGCTCGAAGAAGAGCTCTCGTCTGTATCCACGCCATGGAGTGGCTAGGATGGCTAGATGGCTGGACTGGCTGGGATGTGGGCAATCAAGTTGTTTAGCTGATTGCATTCAGCTACAAAAACGAAAGGAGGATGTCAGATGGCGGATGGCGGATGGCGGATGGCGGAAGGGGCCATTAAGTGATGGCAATGATTAACAACGGAAGTATAGATTTGCCGGGAATCGGTTGAGAGGGCCGATCCCTGCTCTTGGTATGGTTTGGAAAATAGAAAGCGGAATCGATAGCTCTAAATGGCATTTGGCTATAAATCAAATCGTTGCTTAATTGCTTTGACTTCTTAAAGCTACAATTAAGTATGTTTTTTATACCCTTGCAGAGGGTATTATAATTTTGGTCAAAAGTGTGCAACGCAGTGAAGGAGACATCTCCGACCCTATAAAGTATATATATTCTTGATCAGGATCACCTCCTGAGTTGATATGAGCATGTCCGTCTGTCCGTCTGTCCGTCTGTCCGTCTGTCCGTCTGTCTGTCTGTTTCTACGCGAACTAGTCTCTCAGTTTTAAAGCTATCGACTTGAAACTTTGCACACACCCTTCTTTCCTTTGCACGCAGTATATAAGTCGGAACGGCCGGGATCGGCCGACTATATCCTATAGCTGCCATATAACTGATTGATCGGAAATGGTATAACTTTGGTGTTTTTAGAGTTAGAGAGTTCAAATTTGACACGAGCGCTATTTTTGGCAAAACATTACGACATGCCAAATTTCATAAGGATCGGCCGACTATATCCTATAGCTGTCATATAACTGAACGATCGGAAATGACCCAACTTTCGTGTTTTTGAAGATAGAAAGCTGAAACTTAATAGAGATTCTATTTTTGGCCAGTTGATCCAACCTACCAAATTTCATTAGGATCGGCCGACTATATCCTATAGCTGCCATATAACTGAACGATCGGAAATGGTACTTGGTAGAAATATCAACTTTCGTATTTTTGAAGATAGAAGTTTGGGACCTTTTTTTAGTTTTTATATTTTAGTTAATTAGTTTTTTTATGATGTAATCATAAGGATCGGCCAACTATATCCGATGTTTGCGATATATATCCGGTTTTAACTGCAAGGGTATATAAACTTCGGCTCCGCCCGAAGTTAGCTTTCTTTTCTTGTTTTTTTTTCTGACTCCCAGATCCTCAAGCTTCATGTGGCTATGCCCTATGGTATATCCTTTTCAAGCCCCCAAAACAAATGAAATGCTGCCCCAAAAACTTGCTATTCAAATGTATCCAAACGGAAATGATGTGGGGATGGAGCCAAATAGTTTTATTTCAATTAACAAGAGAAATTCGATGGGTTTATTTGTGGCGCGTGTGGAGTTCCAGCCAGCCCGAACCGGGTGCGAACCGGGTGCGAGTCGGTTTTATGCGACACAAGATAAGAGCGATGGCGACGGGCAAGAATTTAATGCTACTATTCCTATTCCTATATTGTACTCCAGTCCGACCAGTGGTGTGTGTGTGTGTGTTGTGCGATAATGTTGACAGATAATAAACTGGGAAAATTACAAAATTACAATCAAAAGTGGGCTGGGGAGGGACTTTGGTCGACAGTGCGGCATTGGGGAAGGATTGGGGCTGCCGAAAAATAATGCTGCTAATGGCGGACCATTGTCGAGCGGAACTGTTGGGTCCGGGTGTGTGTGGGGTTTTACGGCCCAATTCCGGGGAGCGAACGTTAATTTTCCACTGAACTATTCAATTGAAAGTTATTCACGTTTTGGGGCTTTTATTGCATATCCTCATCGTAGAGGGGATGGAGTTGGGACTTAATTGATAAATATTTTCAGTCGATTGGGGAGCTCGTGCTGGATGAGTAAAGATCAACATCAGGATCTCAGTAGACCCCTGGCCCGGAGCACCTCTTTCTGCTTCTCCTCTTATTTTTGGCCAAAGTTAGTGCCAAGTTTTGGCCCCCGACTAAGTAAAAGCCACTTAAAATAAAAAAGTGCACGAGACATTGAGTGGGGGAGTAGGGGAGTGGGGTGGGGACCAGGCTAAAGGACTCAACACACACGAAACTCATAAAAATGCTTTGCGGTTGGGATTTCTTTTGCTCTTTTATTTTTGTTCTTGTTATTTTTTATCGTACAATGGCTGGGCTGTCATCCCATCCTACCATCCCTGAACTCCTGCCCCAGGAATGCTTTAACTTTGGCTCCCACTTTCCTTTCGGAAACTTTACAAAGCATTAACACCTCATAGATGGAAGACACAAAGAGCGACGAAAAATCAAGTTAAGAGCCACGAAACTCTAAACTCGAATATCGTACGTCACGTCCTACATTGGCAGGACGAAAAGGATGAGGAGCAGGAGCAGGACCAGGAGCTGGGGGCAAAGGCAGTAGTGCAACTCACGTAGATTGTAAAAAATTTGATTACGTCCATTGGGGTTACGGAACTCACTTGACATTTCCGCCGAGATTACCGACCGCGGAAGTCCCTTTGCCGGAATCTTTGGATCAATCCAATGGACACCCCAGTACCATATCCCCATGAAGACACTCAAGTAGTCAAGGATTTGTTGGGAACACTTCAAACAATTTAGTAATATTTTTTGGATGCGTGTGTGTTCTTACATCGCAGTGCGTTTACGTGAAAGTTAATAGCGGGGATTGATAAGAAACGGGTTCGGTGGATAGGACTCCACAGGCACAGATGGGCAGCTATTAGTAGCAAGCGCTCCAGAATTGTCTAACAAATCGAGGCCAGGATCAAGGTAATGTCGTCCGGCTTTCCGCCCGAAAAGTCGAGGTCGTTCATTCGGGCATGCTGGCTGAAGGGCGAGTCGTGGTCCGGATCGAAGCTTAGAGACCGGGCCATCAGGGCCATCGAGTTGGCGGTCATCTGGAGGCGCACTCCGTCCGAGACCCCGGCCACCTCGCTCAGCACCTCCACCAACAGCTCCTCCGGCAAGTTGTCGAACACCCCGTCGGTGGCCAGCAGCAGGACGTCGCCGGGCTCCGTTTGGAACTGCAGGGTGTCCGCCATCTCCGGCCCATCGATTATGACCTCATCTTCGTCCATCTCGGGCGGAAGACCCGTCAGCTGAAACGGGGTATTGAATTCGTGCTGCTGTTCCTCGGAGCGGCAGACCACCTTCCCGCCGCGCACCACCATAAAGCCACTGTCCCCGAGGTTGGCGGCGTACAGGATGCCGGTGGTACGGTCCAGGGCCACGATGCAGGCCGTGCAGCTGCCCACTATTGGAGTCTTCTGCTCCAGCAGGTGGAAGTAGGCGCGGGCCAGGAGCATGTCCGGCCGCTTGGGGTCGGTGTCCATGAAACATGCCATGCACTCGCAGGCGTTCATCAGGAACATGCTGAACACCCCGGGATCGACGCCGCTGCTGCGCCAGGATCCCACGCCATCCGCCACGCCCATAATGTCTGCCTGCGGGTGGGCAGTATATAGATTGAAAGGATAATTAAATAGAAAGGATAACCATATAGTTCTCTTACACGTGGTGTCACCGTCTTGAACCAGGCATCCTCGCCAAACTTGCCGGGAATGTAGCTTGGGTACATTTCTTGGTCCTTGGCGAAGCCGCAGACGACACTGATCAGGTGCCGTTCCTTGGTCTGGACCATGAGATTAGCTCCGCGGTGCCAGTCACCTCTCTCCCCGGCCGCCCGTCGCCTTCTGGGTTGGTTGTCCTCCTCGTCGGGACTTTGGGTATCGCTCACGGCGTCCGTCTCCGTGTCATGATCCTGATTGGTCTCTCGATGATGATGTCGATCATTACGGTCTTTGGTGACCGTTTCGCATCCAGATTCGGATTCAGTTTCGTTGGCGATCCCATTACCCCTTCCTCCGTTACCGTTCTCACTCCCATTACCGTTCGAATTTTCTCTCCGACTTTCACTGCCATGGTCATTACCATTCTCTGTACCCACGGGGTGGCCCAGATCTTCTTCGTTGTCTACCGGGGCGGTGCCCCAATCGACCAGGAGCCTCAGCAGGTAGGCACCGCCGATGGTGGCCATAACGGCGACCCCGGCCAAATGCTCGAAGCAGCTGAGCAGGGCGCTCTGGATTAGGGTCGGGCGACGTGACCCACTTCCCAGATTCGCGTTCATGTTCACGGCGCTCATGGTAGTTACAGATACAGTCGCGGTTCTTAATCGCTTATATTACTTTCAGTGCAGTGTTGACCGCGGAAAATGGAACTCATATATATTTCTAAAGTATAAAATCTAATCGGGTTTTTTATGTATATTGTATTACTCTTACGAATGCCAAACGTTAACTGACATGTAGTGGGGGGTTTCTTTCAATAGAGGACTGAATCTAAAAGCAGAGTCTCCTGTGTACAGGTTTTTGGATAATCCGGATCTCATATCGTATCACTTTAAGAGTCATTTAATTTGTGTTTTATTAGTTGCGGGATCCGATACGAGATGCACCACCTACCTCCTCATGGTGGTCCAACCTCCTGGGCAATGCAAATGGAGGCCTCAACTCAATTATGCGCAATTACGGACACAAACAGATGCCGAGTGGAGGAGCTCCCTCCGCCCTTTGGGTTTGGGACTGCCGGTTTTTTTTTTCGGCTGGCCCTCGGAGCAGTCACTTCTGCAGTGGCTGGCACCGGCCAGTTGCAGTTGCATTTCCAATTGCTGTTGCAGCTGCAGATGCGGCACTCGAATTGCATGCATAGCTCATTGCCTGCCACTCGAGTGGGATGAAGTGGCGCAGGATTCGGGGGCTCCTGTAGCTCTGGTGGGCTCTGGTCTCTGGTTTCTGGTCTGTGGATGCTTGGACTGGTTCAGGGCACTGTCAAAATGCCATTGAATTGCTTAAATACTTTCATCGTCGTCATCGCTTAATGGCTTGCCTTTTTTGGAGCCAGGCCCCCATCCGAAATGATGCAACATATGTGAGTGGCATGAATAAACGAGCTGCTTGAATGCCTGAATGAACGGATGGCTTGATGGATGGATAGATGGCTACATGGATAGATGGATGGATGGATGGATGGCAGATATGAAGTGCAATCAATGCAAAAACGTTTTCAAGTTCCCGGCCATTTAGTCTGCCATCCAAAAACAGACTAGACAGAATCCTGGTAACCTGCCATCCAGCCATCCCACCATTCCAATGTCCTAACATCCTGCTGCACATGCAACTCCCTCAGGAGACTGTCTGTCTGTGTGTGTGAGTGTTTGTCGTCGGTGTGAAAGGATTATTCACACACTATTGATTTCAAATTGAGTTGACTTCAAATCCGTCCAAATTGACAGCACATGGCAACCCTCTTCTGCCAGCCGGAAGCTGACTAATGAATTTAATTTGCACTGGGTGTTGAGGCCAATAGAGCGGCTCACAGGATCACAGATTCGTTGGATTTTCGAGAGGCTGGTGACGGCAGTCAGCAGTCAGCAGTCAGCCAACCAGCAACTGACTGATTGACTCCCAGGCTCATTCGACTGTCTTCTGTGGGCTTTATGGTGCGCCTGTAAGTAGGCAACTGTTTTTGTTTACCCACTTGAAAGTGCTCCTCCTACATACCATCCCCATTGATTGGCACCTCCTCCACCACCATCCGCCATCCGGAGCTATGCATTTGCATTTCGAGTGCATTTGAAATTCCTGATACTCGCAATTGACGTTCCGGGAAGGACCGGGCTGCCTCGGCAGCCACAACTGCTAACTGACCAATGATCAATTTAATAGGAAAACAATATTGATAGCCCAGGACTGCTTGATGTCCGTCCGACATCCGTCCGAGCAGGACACTCGTAAGGACATTCAAGTGGTGGTGGTGGGGCCAGGAGCCGGATGTAAAAGTGCTGCGGTTTCTCCCAAAAAGGACTAGGGGATGGGGGAACGTAGTCTCAGCTCCTGAGTTTTGTTTGTTTGCCCAGAAAACTTGGCAAACTTTCGATGGCCGATGGTGTTGGTTTCTGTAACTAAATTTTCAGGCGCACGCACAAAGGACAAAGGACACACAACACTTTCACTTCGTCCAGGGCACTTCTACACTTCGTGTCCTCTGTTTGGTTTCTTGTGGTTTATTATTCACGCCTGAATTGATTGTAAATTAAAGTTTGGCCGAGGCAGTGTGTGCATTTTGAGGTCAGCCTATGGGAAAGTTTCTTTTGTGTGTGTGTGTGTGCGCTTGGAGATCTTGGGTCTATGGGTGTATGGATGGTCGTGGGTCTCCGGCCTTTGTCCTCTTTGTTTTGGGTCCCCTGTGTCCTGCTCCGGGCCCTTGAGTCCTTACTGTCCGGGCATATTAGAAGCCAAAAGGCATTCGAGTGCACATAAGACGATTACACATCATTTAACCGACGCACTGCAAAACTATAAGGGGGTGCCGGTCCCAAGGAGGGGAACCAAACCGCCTCTCCCCGGCCATCCAGCAGCCCTCAGCAGTAATTGTTGCTCCTTGGCTCCTTTATTGACTGCCGCATATTGATTATGGCTACACAGTCCTGCCTCTGCCCTTCGTCAGTCTTCCCTGTAAGGAAGTTCATTTCGTTCTTGACTTGATTGTAAGGCAGTACGGCTGTTGTCGTCCTTGTGTTTAAAATTCAATCGTTGCACTCAAGTGTGCTCGAGACGTATTCATGTGAACAACTCTTTGAATCGGGCCGGGGCTGGGGTAGCCCCCAGAACCTCACACACGGCCGTAAGGACATGGCTATCTGAAAGTTTCGAGACGAAATTAATTTGGTGTTAATAAAGTGAAAGTGTGGACTGGCTTTCCGTTCTGGGAGAACTTTAAGCGGCTTAAATTGATTAGAGGGGAGTATGTTTCATAACAGTTTCTAATTCCATTGATGCCTATAACTAAGGAACCTGGGCTGAGCTGTAGAACAAAATCCGAAACCCAGCAACCTTTGAAAGGTGTGTTGTAGATTATCTCTCTCAGTCAGACGACATTCGTATTAATTTTTCGACACAAACGACACTCGAACATTTCCAAAATGCAATCCAATAAATTCTCGAAAGCTGTTAGCAACTCGTGGCTTATGGTGGGGATCGGATTAGGTGCCTGTGGCCTGGTCGCCCAACTCATCCTAAGGCGCTCGCCCGTATCTGTTTCTACTACTTCCGGACGGATAAGTCAGTTGTGGTCGCGCCTGGGAAGCCTTGGAAGGCTCGGGAACCTAAAGGAACGCGTCTTTCGGAGCATCACGGCCAGGCAATACTACCACGGTGGCTTTGAGGTTGGTTTCTTAAGATTTTCCACCATTTCATATCATATAACCCTATTGATGGCATCCTCCAGGAGCGGATGAGCCCCAGGGAGGCGGCCCGGATCCTGGGCACTAGTCTCAGTGCCCCCCAGTCCAGGGTGCGGGAAGCCCACCGTCAAGTCATGCTGGCCAACCACCCGGATCGCGGCGGCTCTCCCTATTTGGCCGCCAAGATCAACGAGGCTAAGGAGCTGCTGATGTCGCGGAAGCCGCGACCGGGCTAGAGATGGACGGCAAGGGCTTCGTTCTCAAAATTTTCGATAGTTGCATAGATTTTCAACAACGACTGAAGGATGTTCTTTTTTTCTAAAAACAAGTTAGACCTTTTCTAAGCATAGGCGTTTCATAAAGCTGTTCTTTTCCAAATTATTATATTTACATCAATGTGTACATCCTTGTGGTCTCAATCCTAATAAAATATTGTAATCGGTTGTTGAATCAATTTCGAGACTCGTTATTCACATCCCATGTTCGGAAGCTCAGATTCTGACAAAAGCCATTTACTTACTGCTAATGTCCTGTCTTCAGGGACTAGTCCTTAACCGAAACCCTTGCCCATGTTTGGGTTTTTTTCCGGGGGCTATGAAATACCTGCTTGTCCTGCGTAGTACTGTAGCAGTGGCCACTTGGCCGCCTCTCCCTCTGGGAGACGAAAAACTTTACCCACTTGGCCACATGGCTCCTTGAGTAAGAACGAACTGCGAACTGGCCGCTGTCCAGGCATGCACTTGACGGTTGTTCCGCCCCCCCCTCCAAAAAAAAGTGCATCTCCTTTTCCAGTTCTTGGACATCAAAGTTGGCAACTTTCGAGTTGAGGAATTTTCGACAAGGCTCTGGCTCTCGGTCTCGGGCTCGGGCTCGGAACTTTTGTTACTTTGCCGCTGTCGCTGGAGATGCCGGTGGTGGTGGAGAAGAGGATACCTGAGAAAGGAGGAGCACAAGGAAAAGGACTCCGAAAATGAAGGTGGAATTAGAGGCGGCAAGTTTAATTGTTGTGTGTTGTCCTGTGCGTTGTTGTCCTGCCACTGTCTCGGCCCGGAGCCAGGGTATAAATTCAGCCAGGGTCCGGCGCTCAGGTGTCCTTAGTGGTGTTCTAATTACTAACAAACTTAATTTGCTACAAGTTATTTTCTTGCGGACACCGCTTACTTGTACTTGCCCCCTTGCAACTCCTTGTGACCACGGCCGCTTGACTCGCCCCGCTCCTCGGCCAGGACACTTGAGCCCACGCGAGTCCTCACGGCTTACGAGGCTCAAATCAGAGTTGGCCTAATAGTAGCATGTATTTTTATTCTCGTAAGTGGGCTTTTGGTAGCTGCGTCTTGGGAGAAAGGTTCAAGAATTCACGGCACTTGCGTTTGTGTTTGTTTTAAGTTATTAATCAACCTAAGCACTGGCTAGCTTGAGGGCAACCACAATCGGTGTTGCTCGACTCTATCCCGGCCGCCTTGGGGGCATCTTCGACTGATTCGAAGACGTTAGTCGGAAGGACGGAGCTTGTCCGCAACCGACACTTCCAGGTCTTTGGTCTCCGGGTCTGATACCCCAAAATTCCTGTTCTCAAGGCCCAAAAGTCGGCCGTTGTAAATTATGCGCCTTGGCTTACAAATTGCAAGTGCCCGGTAGCATGAAGCATGTGGCTGGTGGCCGGCTACCACCCTGCCTCCACCCAAGATGCTGCTGAATCCCTGGGATGCAGCTTCGGTCTCTGACTTGGGACATCGTCACCTATCTCCGACTGGTAATGCCCTGACTTGAAGCTGATTCCTTTGCTTTAGGCAGGAGGTTAGGATATTGAGAGTTTCCAAGTGAGAAAAAAGGGCATCTGGTGGCGCGACTTGCACTCCCGCATCCACAGCATCCTCCGACAAATGCGTGGTCAAAGTTGTTTGCATGTCCTGTGAGATGGTAGCGGTTATTCAAATGAGCGGCCTGCAACTTGTTTTTTGCAGGACTTCTTGCGGACTCCTTGGACATAGTTTGGTGGTGGCCCCGGCCGGTGGCCCGGCTGAAGGCGAATATTTTATGCTTTACGTGGTTAGGTTACTTGAGAAATTACGTGGCTTTCCCTTTTCCTGGCACTCCTGGCACTCCATCCTGGACATTTTCATTGTCTTTTGATGGTGGTGCTTTGCATTAGTATTTAACATGAGCCGCCCGAAAGTATGCAAACTTATTTCTTGCCTCGTTTGTTTCCAAGAAGTGTAAGTGTGTGTGTGTGTGTTGTGGGTTAACTAAATGCTACATTCTAACTCTAAACGCATTCAACTTGACTTTTTATCGCAAGCCGCCCCTCCCACCCCCTGGATCCACCCCTCGCTAGTCCTGGCAGGACGAAAATGCTTTTGTGTACTTAGCGAAACCAAGAAAAAAAGTTGTAAAAATCCTGTAAAAAATTCTAGCAACCGAAACGTGCAAAATGCGTTTTAGTTGTGGCCGAAAACACACTGGACTCTGGGACTCTTGGACTCTTGGACTCTAATAATTTATTTTAATGATAATGCACGCCTGCCATTGTGGAATCTGTAGAATATCCGTGTCCCCAGATGATTCTCGTCCCCCAGGGTTAGGTGGAGTGACACTCACTTTTCTCTGGCCCCCCCCCTTGAAGACTTTCCTGCCTGCCCGCCTGTTTTGAAAATCAGTTTCGGGCCTGTTTCGTTCGCCTAATGATATGCCAGAAATATTAAGTGCTCGACACGCCCACTTGGGCAGTTAGGGGCGGAATATATAGCCAGAGGCGCGGTAAGGGGCTGGGGCTAAGGACTAGAGCATCGCATCATTGTAAAAACCCCTTTCGGCGAGCTACGTTTCTACAAGACAAGTGCAAAGTTTTGGCCACAAAAACTTTCCTACCATAAAACTTGTGCATTTTTCTAAAAAAAAAAAAAAAAGAAACAACTACACAAAAAAATAAAAAAAAAAAAACCAAGAAACAAAACCAAAAGTGTGTAGAAGAAATGGAAACCCAAAAACAGAAACAGTCCTGGTCTCACTTCTTTGTCTCTTTCCAGTCTTGAAACAAAATGCAAATAAAAAAGTTTTTCCCCACGACGGCCTCTTTTTTCCACGGTCTTTCTTTTATTTTTCCCCTCTTTTTTTTTTTTTTTTTTATTACTTTTCTAAGAACTACTTGGGCTGAAGGTTGTTCTGGGCGAGGACTTTCAAGGGATAGGATGGCCCACGGGTAGGCCCAAAAGGGCTAAAAGGTTTACGGCCGACAGGAAGAACTGCAAACTTGGTTTTGGAGACTCTAATGCCTTTTATTATTCCCAGTGCTTAATAATTTTCCTAATCCATCATGTAGTCAACGCAAAAACTATTAGTTAGTGACTCAGCTTTCACACTTGCAGTTTCCTTATAATATAGTCACGGTATCCGTGAGATAATTCGAATGGTTCCGTCACCGTTTGATCACATCGACCTTTTGCAGGGGAACCCGTTCCCAGAGCTGGCGAAATCCTGCATCCGACTTCCGGGGATTAAAGTGGGCTATCGTGTCCCGGGTATAGCCTGTCAGAGCTGGTGGCACCTCTGCGGAGTTGTCATCGTCCAAGTGATGGTTCTCGATGCCCTCGTCCATGAACTCCAGGGCTAAAGCCTGATGAAGAAAGTCTTTGGGTTATGACTTGTTCCTCTACCGTTTATTGATTCTCTTTCTGACTCACCACGTGGACTGAAATGGCGGCCAATGCCAACAGGGTCAATATTTTGCTTGGCGGGGCCATGACCTAATCGGCTCAAGAATCGGCAGCTATATGACGGTCTCGAGGGAGCCACAATCTACAACATTTTACGCCGAGCGGCGAAACTGAACTGGAACCGAGTCCGGTGGCCAGAGAGTCGGAGACCCCAAACTGAATCGAATACGAACCGGGCTTTGAATCGAGCTCCATCAAATCGGCCCCACGTGCATCGCATACCGAAAAGCTCTATTGACCCTGGCGGTGGCCTATGGGGGTATGCCCGGTAAACACTACATATAGTACGGCAATTGCTTTATTTTTAGCCAGCGGCGTCATCCAGCCCCTCCTCACCCGCCCACTTCACGCCTTTCTGCCACGTTGACTCATTCAATTGCCCGCTCTAATGATGGAAACGGTTTTTGCCGCCCGGGCACTTGCTTTTTTTTTTTCATTCCGCTGATTTGTGTTTTAATTTCCCTCAAATGGCTGTGCGAATTATTGACCAGAACGCTGACAGCCAAGCAAACAAATTAGACCCCCGGTCGGGTCCCAAGCGGGGGTCCCAATTCGAGCGATGTGTACTCATTGATGGCCCAGCCAAAGATAGTCTCAATCGTGACTGGAAGACCACATGCCGTATACTTGATTTTTTTTTTAACAGAAAATAGACACCTTTATAGATAACCTTTTATGATTGAGCCACGATCTTGCTAGAAGCTTATTATGAAGAACCTTTCTTATAAATACTCCCAGAACTGGGTAACAAGATCACTCGTAAATATTGAGACCAAAGATGAAGACTTTTGTAGCTTTTGTTGCTTTGTTGGTGATCGCATTCGGAGCTCCTACATCGGCAGTTAGTATATCTTAAGTCTTGCCATTAAAAATTTCTAACAAAACCTCCTTCTTTAGTGCAATACGACCCTGATTTTCAACAAGAGCCTCGAATTATGTGATTCGTTGAAGTTTACCTTCCCTTTCTTTCCTCTTTCTTTCTGGAACATAACATTCTCCTCATCCTTGTCAAAAATAGATAGCTACTGCAATTCCATCAATCAAGTAAGTCTGTGCGGCTCTATATTCTTTGCAATCAAAACCCAAATGTACTACCTCACCGCAGGACCTCGAATACTTCCTGACCACCTTCGATCCTCTCACGGATCTGACCTGCAAGTTTTTCAAAGATCTTTGCTTGAACTGCACGGATAAAGTTACTGTTTCCTCAAGTGGCTCTTCTGGCACGACTTTGAACGAAACAGCGTCTTCGGGCTGAGAAGAAAAATCGAATGGACCCCCTCCCCTAAATGACATCCTTCTGCTACCTATGTATCTATCTATATATTTAATGTACTTACCTTTAACCTTTATCCCCATGAGATGGCATGCCAAAATAAAAACCCTTCAAATTTAGTTTATATGTTTTGTATTTAATATCATAAATAAAGTATTAAGGGAGCAATGAAAATATTAAAATATTTAAATAAGTGGGTTTTATCATCAGTAAAATTTAAACTCATGTCCTATATATTTCTAGATTTTACATCAAAAATATATACTACGGAAGCCATATCTTGGCCAACACATAGAACCATCTTTAACGATTCCTAGATTGCTTCTTAACATAGCTGCTTCAAATCTTCAATCTTTATTGTCCATAAATGTATGTCCAATTCTTCTAGAAGACCCCCTTTGAAAATATCGAAAGCTCCGAAAGTGGGCATATGGCCCACTGCGGAAGCTATATCTCGGCCAAAACTTGTCGGATTCATAAGCGGAATGCCTTAAACGATTTCTAGATCGATTCTGCATAAAACTGCATCAAAACCTAGAAACTTTATTTTCGATCACTTTTTTTCCAAATTTTCTAGGGGAGTCCCTTGGAAAATAGGGAAGGCCCCCGAAAGTGGCCCACGGCCACTGCGGAAGCTATATCTTGGCCAATATTTGTCGGATTCATAAGCGGAATGCCTTAAACGATTTCTAGATCGATTCTGCATAAAACTGCATCAAAACCTAGAAACTTTATTTTCGATCACTTTTTTCCAAATTTTCTAGGGGAGTCCCTTGGAAAATAGAGAAGGCCCCGAAAGTGGCCCACGGCCACTGCGGAAGCTATATCTTGGCCAATATTTGTCGGATTCATAAGCGGAATGCCTTAAACGATTTCTAGATCGATTCTGCATAAAACTGCATCAAAACGTAGAAACTTTATTTTCGATCACTTTTTTTCCAATTTTTCTATGGGAGTCCCTTCGATAATAGTGAAGGCCCCCGAAAGTGGGCATATGGCCCACTGCGGAAGCTATATCTCGGCCAATATTTGTCGGATTCATAAGCGGAATGCCTTAAACGGTTTCTAGATCGATTCTGCATAAAACTGCATCAAAACCTAGAAACTTTATTTTCGATCACTTTTTTTCCAAATTTTCTAGGGGAGTCCCTTGGAAAATAGGGAAGGCCCCCGAAAGTGGCCCACGGCCACTGCGGAAGCTATATCTCGGCCAAAACTTGTCGGATTCATAAGCGGAATGCCTTAAACGATTTCTAGATCGATTCTGCATAAAACTGCATCAAAACCTAGAAACTTTATTTTCGATCACCTTTTTTCCAAATTTTCTAAAATTTTTTCATCTTGGACCCTCTTCGAAAATAGAGAAGGCCCCCGAAAGTGGCCCACGGCCACTGCGGAAGCTATATCTTGGCCAATATTTGTCGGATTCATAAGCGGAATGCCTTAAACGATTTCTAGATCGATTCTGCATAAAACTGCATCAAAACCTAGAAACTTTATTTTCGATCACCTTTTTTCCAAATTTTCTAGGGGACCCTCTTCGAAAATAGAGAAGGCCCCCGAAAGTGGCCCACGGCCACTGCGGAAGCTATATCTTGGCCAATATTTGTCGGATTCATAAGCGGAATGCCTTAAACGATTTCTAGATCGATTCTGCATAAAACTGCATCAAACCCTAGAAACTTTATTTTCGATCACTTTTTTTCCAAATTTTCTAGGGGACCCTCTTCGAAAATAGAGAAGGCCCCCGAAAGTGGCCCACGGCCACTGCGGAAGCTATATCTCGGCCAAAACTTGTCGGATTCATAAGCGGAATGCCTTAAACGATTTATAGATCGATTCTGCATAAAACTGCATCAAAACCTAGAAACTTTATTTTCGATCACCTTTTTTCCGAATTTTCTAGGGGACCCTCTTCGAAAATAGAGAAGGCCCCCGAAAGTGGCCCACGGCCACTGCGGAAGCTATATCTTGGCCAATATTTGTCGTATTCATAAGCGGAATGCCTTAAACGATTTCTAGATCGATTCTGCATAAAACTGCATCAAAACCTAGAAACTTTATTTTCGATCACTTTTTTTCCAAATTTTCTAGGGGAGTCCCTTGGAAAATAGGGAAGGCCCCCGAAAGTGGCCCACGGCCACTGCGGAAGCTATATCTTGGCCAATATTTGTCGGATTCATAAGCGGAATGCCTTAAACGATTTCTAGATCGATTCTGCATAAAACTGCATCAAAACCTAGAAACTTTATTTTCGATCACTTTTTTTCCAAATTTTCTAGGGGAGTCCCTTGGAAAATAGGGAAGGCCCCCGAAAGTGGCCCACGGCCACTGCGGAAGCTATATCTTGGCCAATATTTGTCGGATTCATAAGCGGAATGCCTTAAACGATTTCTAGATCGATTCTGCATAAAACTGCATCAAAACCTAGAAACTTTATTTTCGATCACATTTTTCCAAATTTTCTAGGGGACCCTCTTCGAAAATAGAGAAGGCCCCCGAAAGTGGCCCACGGCCACTGCGGAAGCTATATCTTGGCCAATATTTGTCGGATTCATAAGCGGAATGCCTTAAACGATTTCTAGATCGATTCTGCATAAAACTGCATCAAAACCTAGAAACTTTATTTTCGATCACTTTTTTCCAAATTTTCTAGGGGAGTCCCTTGGAAAATAGGGAAGGCCCCCGAAAGTGGCCCACGGCCACTGCGGAAGCTATATCTTGGCCAAAACTTGTCGGATTCATAAGCGGAATGCCTTAAACGATTTCTAGATCGATTCTGCATAAAACTGCATCAAAACCTAGAAACTTTATTTTCGATCACCTTTTTTCCAAATTTTCTAGGGGAGTCCCTTGGAAAATAGGGAAGGCCCCCGAAAGTGGCCCACGGCCACTGCGGAAGCTATATCTTGGCCAATATTTGTCGGATTCATAAGCGGAATGCCTTAAACGATTTCTAGATCGATTCTGCATAAAACTGCATCAAAACCTAGAAACTTTATTTTCGATCACATTTTTTCCAAATTTTCTAGGGGACCCTCTTCGAAAATAGAGAAGGCCCCCGAAAGTGGCCCACGGCCACTGCGGAAGCTATATCTTGGCCAATATTTGTCGGATTCATAAGCGGAATGCCTTAAACGATTTCTAGATCGATTCTGCATAAAACTGCATCAAAACCTAGAAACTTTATTTTCGATCACATTTTTTCCAAATTTTCTAGGGGACCCTCTTCGAAAATAGAGAAGGCCCCCGAAAGTGGCCCACGGCCACTGCGGAAGCTATATCTTGGCCAATATTTGTCGGATTCATAAGCGGAATGCCTTAAACGATTTCTAGATCGATTCTGCATAAAACTGCATCAAAACCTAGAAACTTTATTTTCGATCACCTTTTTTCCGAATTTTCTAGGGGACCCTCTTCGAAAATAGAGAAGGCCCCCGAAAGTGGCCCACGGCCACTGCGGAAGCTATATCTTGGCCAATATTTGTCGTATTCATAAGCGGAATGCCTTAAACGATTTCTAGATCGATTCTGCATAAAACTGCATCAAAACCTAGAAACTTTATTTTCGATCACTTTTTTTCCAAATTTTCTAGGGGAGTCCCTTGGAAAATAGGGAAGGCCCCCGAAAGTGGCCCACGGCCACTGCGGAAGCTATATCTTGGCCAATATTTGTCGGATTCATAAGCGGAATGCCTTAAACGATTTCTAGATCGATTCTGCATAAAACTGCATCAAAACCTAGAAACTTTATTTTCGATCACTTTTTTTCCAAATTTTCTAGGGGAGTCCCTTGGAAAATAGGGAAGGCCCCCGAAAG